ATCCTCTCAGGGCTATAGTGAGCTGTACTTGCAAGTCAGACCTCTTGCTATATCTCAGCCAAGAAAGCTCCTGCCTCTCCGGTTGCTGGCAGGAAACTGCCAGCCTGGTCTCAGCCCTGGGCTTTATAAGGGCCAGGCCCTGCCTCCTACAGGCAGCTGGCTCCCCTTAGCTGCCCCGGCAACCTGCAGCTGGGCTCGTTACCCTGGCACCACTCAGCTGGGCTCGTTATGACCTGCCAGGGCTCTGTCTCTCTCCCTGGCAGTTTCTCCCCTCTAGGAGCAGAGCACCGAGGTGCTCTGCGACACAAGCAAATTACCACCCTTTGGCAGTTGTCCTCTTCCTTTATACAAGAGAGTTCCTCAATATAGATGAAGAAATCACATGGCAGATTGAAGTTATGAAGAAAGACCAAAGCCATCCTAGTCCTTATATTTTAGACATTTGTTTTAAAAAACAAAAAACAATCAAGCAAGGAAAAACTCACATAGCTCATAAAATTCCCTCTGATTTAAAATTCAGTAACATCTGTTAGAAATTGGACGTCTCCTTTCCCTTCCTTCCCCTCCGCCCCCCACCTGATGATATTACACTTCAGGGGACTGTGATAAAACTTCCCAGGATAATAAACATGAAAACACTTGGGACAGACAAAAAAAAAAAAAAGATCCTAAGAACAACTGTCTGGCAGCTTAGTGATTTGGATGCATTGTTGGCCAGTCCATTTGAGTGTTAAAAATCCATTGGTTTTGTTATTTTTAGGGATAGCATTTCTGTTGTAAAATGGACGAGCAGGAAGTATCTTCCAAATATTTTCTTTTGAAGGCTTCTAATATATTCCATATTTTAGCTTTATGGGAGAGGTAAAAACTACTGTTTACCGATAGATGGGGCAAGAAATAGGAAGAAATAATTAAAAAGGAAAGAAAAAAGGACGTATTCTTTTGAATCAGTTGTTTGGCCCTGAAGATCACACTACAGATACAATTATTATTATTTATTTTTTGTAATCCAGTACTGCTTGCAGGCTCCAACTGATTTCAGGCCCCTACTGTGCTGTATGCTGTAGAGATGTTATAAAGACCTTTTCTATCCATGAGGGGTGTTTAAAGTTGAACACCAATAGATATGTTTCAAAATGAACTATGATGCTTGTTTTATGTACTATTTTCTGGGTAAAGTCAGAAGATTCCATGCCTGTACAATTAAAAGGGATCTTTATTAAGATACATTTTCAGAGATAAATTTGCCAGATACAGCTAGCATTCCAAGCAGGTGTCACAAGATAATTTCCTGGTACATCCTTCAAATGCCTCCCGCCTGTAAACCATGCTCTGCTACCTAAGTTCCATGCAGTTTGCTACAAGAACACTACTTTGAGGTCTGGGTTTCTTTGTGCTAGTGATATAAAATAGGGAAAGAGGAAAGCTATTGCTAGGACACAAGCAATAAGGTTCACATCACTTCACAACACAACAATTTTAGGTAGTGTCTTCTAGCTTGGCATTCTTATTTTCACTTCTTGAGATAACTCAGATGTGACCCTTTAAAAGAGCAGATGGTTCACTGAAAAATAAAGCTGCATTTGAGGCAGAAGGGATAGCAGCCATTTAGATGAAGTAATGTTCCAGTTTAAAGGGAAAGAAAGGGACAATTTAGCACTGATACAAAAACAGTAACAGGACCAATGACAGATGCACATTTCTGCGCATGTTGATAGCATTAAACCAGACATGTTTCGGTAAGACTGTCTCAGGGGTCTAATTTCTAATAATATTACCATTGCTTGAGTAGAAATACAGAATCACTAATAATCATCTATGGGGTATACATAAACAGTTTTGAAAGTAAAGTTTCATAGTTTCGTAGTTGTAGGGTTGGAAGGGACCTAAGCCGATCATCAAGTCCGACCCCCTGCCATGGGCAGGAAAGAATGCTGGGGTCAAACGACCCTGGCTAAGTATCCATCTAGCCTCCTTTTGAAGACCCCCAGGGTAGAAGAGAGCACCACCTCCCCTGGAAGTCGGCTCCAGATCCTAGCTGTCCTGACTATGAAGTAGTGCTTCCTGATATCTAGCCTGAATCTACTCTCTGTCCAAAGCATATTCCAGAAACTCTTTACCTTTAATTACTCTTTTAACATTGTAATCAACTACCTTAAGTGATATTAGGTTCTAGGACTATAAATTGGGTTTAACTTACATTTAAAATTCATATTGACACTGAAAAAGTTGTGATTTAATTGAATATGTCACTGATAATTCCCCTAACTTTTATGGTATGGAAATATGTTTGCAAGCAAAAGCACAGCATGAATGATTATAGTGAATCATACTATCCTTGTCCTACTGAAGTCAATGCCACATCTTCAACTGAATTCATTCAGAGAAGTAGGTCTTATAGCCATTAATATTGCTGTAGAGCTCAGGTGAATAATTTTTAGTGCTCAGACAGCATCAATATGGAAAGATATTTACAGGAAAAGAGGGAACTGACCTGAAGTGGATAGAGCCCAAAGCTGAATTAGAATTCTGTTACTGATTTTAGGAAAGGCAGGATTTCACCCAAAATACCCAAATAAAAGACACAATACAATTATGCAAAAAGCTAAAATGTGAAGGGCTTTATCATAAATATTTTATAATCCCAATTTTACATTTTTCTATTTCTGACACACATTTTGTTACAATGAGAATGAAGTCCAAATTTCTGCAGAACAGAGGTAAATGTAAGTTTAAATAAGGAAATCTCTTATAATGAGGAACATTGGGAGAGAATGGATCAGATGCTCCACAAAACGAAATCAGTCTAGATTAACTGAAGTCAATGGGGTTACTTGTATTTACCTCATCTGACTGTCAGGCCTGTACTTCCAGGAAACCTATATTTTATTTGACCACTTCAATATAGGTCAAAATGTATGGTATCATAAAAAAAATTGCAAAAGAATAAAGAAGCATCTATGTTGTGGCTCTCAAATGTCTGGATATCATGTATAAGGGAACTGTGACTACAAACTGAAATGGCTGTTGTATGGTAATCAGCCACCTGAAAAAAATTAAATTGCATTTGCTAAACAAAATGCTGTGCAACTGTTCTGTTTCTACTGTAGTCATGTATTGACCCAGCTCCTGAAGCATGAGGAAATAATGCACTGCACTTGTGAACTCATTCATTTGGTTGGTCTTTTTAAACATAGTAAAAGATCTTTGTGAAGAAAACTGGGCATCTTTCTGTGTTTCTCCCCCCCCCTCTTCATTCTGCTCCTGCAGCCCCTCCCCTCATGAGAGCTCTCTGATCTAGTCAAGGCTGTCATGTTTTAATGTTTTATAACATCTATTTCCCACCCTGCAGTATCCATGCGCATGTAGCTGTTGGGAAATACTTTGTAGGACTTAGGACCCTGAGGTTTGGTCCAATTGTTTTAATGATCCCGTGCCTCTGAGCAGCTGAACAGAAAGCAAGTCTTCACAATTCAAGGTTGTGCTAGAGTAATCCTCTGGTAGCCATAACAAACATCATGAAACAAAGGGGAAGAAATTCAGTCGAGGAAAGGCTGATGGAAAATGGAATGGGAAATATAAGGAGGAAATAGCTGGCTCACTAAAAAGAGTGTCTTACAACTTCAGTGACAGCAACCTCTCCTCCCTCTCAATGTAATGGTATTTACATAGATATCTCTTCGAATGGGATATAGGTTTCAAACAAGAGAATGACAATTTCTTCAGTTGTCTTTGCTGTGCCATGACAGGTTACTAATACGAAGTCCCACATGGTGGTTTATTTGATAGTTTTGAAAGCACAGAAATAATGACTGCTGTGTGTGCTTCTTTCGGCCTAGACCTTTGTTGCCTGACAAGCTTCAGAGTCTCATATTGAAACCAGGCTGAGTCAGTTGAAATTACACTCTAATGCATCCTCCAGCATTTTGCATGTCTCTACTGAAGTTGGATGCATAAAATAGCAGACACTGGGATTTCATGAATTGTGCCAAGCTACCACTTATTTGGGTGTCTGTCATGCTATGGGCATTCTTTGATCAATTTCTTCATGTGTCATTGGTATCTTATACCAGTGCCTGTCCACACGAAAGGGATGGTATTGGCATTTGGAAGGCTATTAAAAGACACTGTACCATTAAGCAAGCTTTCCTACTTACAAAAAGAGCTCAAAGCTGTTCAGATATTTTCCTCCTCTTTGCTTGTAGGAATCAATGGGAGTGACTGAAAAAATATGGCTTTAAATCAAATGTTATTTTCCTTTTTCCTTTTCACCCAGTTATAAATTTAAACAAATGAAAATGTGGGAAAATGTGCTTTTTGTATTTGGAAGTGCAGCAATCTGTTACTCCTCCCATATCCAATGAGGATTGTTGCTTCTGGCTCTGAACTCAGAACAGAAAGGGCACAAAAAAAAGAAAAGAAAAGACTGTTTTACATACTTGGCAAATGATGGCAAGGGGCAAGGGCAAGGCTGGCAGGATGTGGGCACTCCTCTGAGGACATCAGCAATGTAACCATCCAGGCATCTTTCACAGTGCTCTCCAGTTGTGTTTCTCTGGCAATCCTTCAAAAGCAAAAAGAGTGACAAATGTTAAAGGAAGGTGCTGCTTAATTCAGGCCGAGCAGAAATGATTTAGGCAAGTTCTTTGCCAAGCAGAACAAGGACTGGTGCCAGATCTGAACCCTTCAAAGTACTAACAGATTAAAATGAACCTGTTTGTAACTGGCAATGCATGACAAATTAAGATGTTCTGAACAATTGGACTGCCAGAGATGGTGGATGAAGTGGCACACAGGATGAAGCTATCAGTGAGGGTATGAGCATGGAAAGTCTCTCTGAACACGAAGTGTGCCCTGTATATTACCAAGAAATGTCATTAGAATTCAGATTTAGTGGTCAGGTCTGTTTTAGAGCTGGATGCACTGGAAGGAATGATTAACCGCCTGGCACCAAGCCAAAGTGAAAATTGCCCACTGGTGTATATAAGCATCACAGATTTCAGTACAGATGCATGCTTATTCAGGGAGAAAGGGGGTTATTCCATGAACTCAACAACTAAAGTGAACATCAAGGAAAATTGTAGATTAACAATGACTAATAGGCTGGTGTCTTTGCTTTTTTTGTTACATAAATTTTACATACTTGGATTTATTACTACGTGTTTCTCCTGGCCTTAAAGAAGCTAGCACAAAGGAGGCAACTCAGGGGAATGCCATATACTGTCTTCTGAAAAATATAGTGCAGGAACTTCAATATTAGTTTTCCTATTTTTCTCTGACATACAAAATAATCAGGCAATAGCCCACCTGCTTGAGAAGGGTTTTAATCTCCTTTGGTCAACATTTGCTAAAAACAATCTATAAAATGAGCAATTTATCAACTCACATAGAAAGGGGCAGATCCCCAGCTGGTATGAGTTGTCATAGCAATGTTGAAATCAGCACAGCCAGGACAATTTATGCTGGATGAGGATTGACACCATGGTATTTTATGGTGATGATTATAAAGCTATGCACCTGACTACCACTTCCCATAAAAATCTCAAGCCACTTTGAAAGCTATTATTAATTAAGTCATTTAAAGCAGTGAGATTAAGTAAGCATTGATAAATTGCTCATTTTACAGATAGCAAATTGAGGCACAGATGAGTTAAGTGAATTGTCTATTACCACTCAGCAGTGACTATTATAGAGCCAAAAACAGAATTCAGGAATCTATCTCAGTCATTTCTACTTCAGCAGGGTGTCCAGAAAATGTTTCTTTGGGAATGAAAAAATCAAACTCAACCAAAAACAAAACAAAAAAATCCCCTCTCTACCAGTGAGTTATCTTTAAAGAGACTGGGTTGCTATGATTTTCTTCTGCCTTACACCTTGTGTAATAATGATTGTGATAATCCCAGTTAAAATTCTCCCTGTACATCACTTAGCACAGATTTTTGACAGATGGTGGGAATTATTTTGCCTTGGGTTAGTTTGTCAGACATCATTGTCTAGAATTATACATTTGAAGCTGGTATAGGTGATACAAAAGAAAATGACCTTGGTGCCTTAGCATCTTCTCTAGTAGAAATTTAATCACATCAGAAAAATCACAGCATGGTTAGCAATTGGCACTCTGGAATAACAGGGAAGCTGAAGTTCAGGTTTCAGGTGCATTAGCAGACCTGCAAGAGAAAGCTTGTACAGTGTCTGCCAACAATACGGTTGACTTAGAGCAATCGACACTACATTTCCAGGAGGACCAAATTACAGGGGAATGAGTTTATCGTGAACCACCCAAAAACTGTACATTTGAAAATTCCCCTTGAACTAAAGCTGCACTGCACTGTACTGTACTCTGTGACCAGGGGAGCATGGAAAAAGAATAAAAAGAGGAAAATGTAATGAAAAAACAGTAGTGATTCCTCTGAATCATAAACCCTGAATCTGACTTCATAAATTCTGCTTTGAATTAGATACACTAAGATCACCTTTACATGCTGGTATAAATTGAGAACTTTCACTTATTCATAGCTAGAGGTCATCAGTCAGTTTATATCCTGCACTGCCTGCACCCCCTTGTACAAAAGCTATAAATATACAGCTTGGCTGACTGACCATGTAGCCAGTCTTATTTTCTTTGAATTTTATATTATATCCTTCTCTTTAGATTGAGGTAGGTTCTGATTAGAAGAGCCTAGACCATTTTAGATTCTGGGTGAATCCTGTGGGATGACCTGAGCTGGTCACTACATGCATTTTAGCTTCATCCAGGTTATGTCAAAACTGACAGTTAGGCATAGCTGTACATTCATCTTCAAGGCCATACGCAGTGATCATCTGTACTGAAAAACACTGCACTGTTAAACCCCTAAGCTTGAACCTGAAAGCTTTGCTGAACTTCTAATTATAAGGGTGACCCAACTCCTATTAGTCTCTTAGCACACTTTTTTGCAGTGGAAGTCCACCACCAGCAATTCCATAATTTCCTGTTCCCTTCCTATACCCCATTTATACCCCACATCCTCTCTCCACTGCCCATAAGCAGAAACAATGGAAGGGGAAAAAAGTGCTGTTCCCTGGAAGGACTTCACTTTGTATGGTGCAAAGGAATCTGGGATGCATCTTAATACAACTTTTGTGAAATAAGATGCCAAGTGTAGTTGGCTAGATGGCATAATGTAGATGGAGAAAGGATGGTTTATGTAGCCCAGGTTGAGAATAATCTCAAATTTAGTCATAATATCAGTGCAGCTATCTTTACAGGTATGATGCATAACTATACCAGTGTACAAAAATTATGATAATTGTTTATTTACACAAAGCTATAAATCCACGATGGTTCCTTACAACAGATAAAACATGCAAAGGACAATTTACAACTGTTCTTTATCTGAGGATTTTTTTTTATATATAGATGCTAACAGCTGTGCTACACTTAGATTAAAAAAAATGACATGCAATTGATTGATATCAGAGGCATATTTGGAACAAAGTAGGAGAAAGCTTGGAACTATAGATTAGATTAAACATCAAATGGGGTTAGGAATGGAAGGAGCCCAAAGCTGGATGGGGAGGAGAGAAGGTTAGACAGAAAAAAGAAATCAGACATGGTGCGAGAGGAGATGTGGCATGAAAGAATCTGGAAGGCTAGTACAGTTTAAAGAGGTGGAATAATCATGCAATATTCATGCACGATTATTTACTATCATTTCCCAAGTCTTCTATAGGGAATATTGCATCATGCAAATGATCAAAGTTGAAAGAGAAAGGATGGCTTTTTGATTAAGGCACTGAACTAGGCCTTAGGAGCTTTAAATTCAGTTTGTGGCTTTGCCACAGGCTTTCTGATTTTGCTCTGGGCAATTCAGTTTACCTATCTGATCCTCAGGTCTCTATGCATCACATTGGGTATTGCTAAGATAAATTCATTGATGTTTTCCAGTTGCTCAAATACTATGGTGCTAAATGCAGTAGGGAAGCAGGGCACTTGGTGGTACGTCTCATATCTGTGGTGTTTTTCTTCCACTGTAATGGAGATTGTTAACAGAACCTCATCCCTAAAGACCTTATTAGCTGAGTGCCTGAGGCACTTTCAAGTGCGAGTCTATTCAGGAAAGTGACTATATGGAAATGTTATTATCTTATTCAACAAATCTGATTCCCTGGTGTAGTTGGGGTCATACATTTGTCTTTAGAGGAAAATGTGTCTTTATGCTGTATACTTCCATTAGCATTCCAGAGAACAACATACATTCTGTGCATTTTCAACAGAATATATCTATGTGAAACCGAGGAAGGGAAAGATGACACTGGATTTCAGAAGTGTTTCTGAGAACCCTAAGAGACCTGGATTTACAATTACAGAAAAACACATTTTCCTTTTTAAACTGAGCACATTTTTTCAGATAAATGATTGTGAGAAACAATAAGCAGGGAACTCCACAAGGCAGATTCACCGAGTTACCTTTCAGAGAGTACCAGGAGAGGAGCACTCCTAGACAGGGGTATCTACATACATTTTTGCATGCATGTTACCATGTATTTTGCACCACGGTTTTGAGCTGAAAATTTTACTATGCCTACAACCTTTATAATCCCAAATCCTCTTCTGAAAGAAGATCTAAAAATTAATTGAGACTTTTTCTATTCCTATTGTTGTTATTTATTTTATAAACATGGAGGAAATAAATGACAAAAGGAAAACATGAAAGAGTATGGTAGAGTCCCTAGGAGACAATGCACACTCTCTGTCTCTTCAGGTAGAAGTGCACATGTTCAAATGAACATAATATTACTCACATTTTAGCAGGCAACAGAGAAATTAAGGTGAATTTCAATAAAACTAAGGACATAGCAGCTGCATAGATTTGTTATTTTAAGTTAAAATTTTAACCCAAGTCCTTTGCAGGTAGCCATATTAATACAAGTGGTATTATTACAAACCAAAGTCAAGTCAGTGATGTCTCTTAAAGCTTAGCTGGCTTGTAAGTGCTTCTAAATGAAGATACACTCCACAGTATGTAATCATTCATGTACCATTATATCATCAACAGCCTGTCAGATGATAAAGTATTCTGAATGTATTTTCCTATGTTAGAAAATACCAAGTTACTTGAATTGCTACAGTCTTACAAATTATTATAAATCAAGGTGAATGGGTCTACATAGTCTTTATTATAGATAGCCACACTTCATGTATTTTCTGTAGAAAAGATTATTCTGTGTTGAGATTATTCTCAACCTGAGCTACATAAAGCATCCTTTCTCCACCTACATTATGTCATCTAGCCAACTACACTGGGCATCTTATTTCACAAAAGTGTTATTAAGACGTATCTCAGATTCCTTTGCACCATGCAAATTGAAGTCCTTCCAGGAAACAGCACCTTTTTCCTCCTTTCACCGTTTCTGCTATATGACATTGTCTGACAGAAGTCATAAGAACTAAGTGTTCTAGAAGGTATGTTGGTGTCTAATGCCTATTTAGTCATCTAAACTTCTATTGAATCTTGGGGAGGTTAGGCATCTTAATCGAAATTAGGCACCTAAATATGTTGCTGGGTATAGGCCTAATAGCAT